ATCATTGAACTTTTTCTAAATTAATTCTCTAATGTTTAAGACTTTATAGAAAAAAAATATTAGCATTAAGAAAGATAGAAAAATTTTCAATTTAAAAAAAGTTAATAAATTAAAGTTTAAAAGTAACTAAATTAAGTTAAAAATTAATGGATTTAAAATTAACTAAGTTAAATTAAAAGTTATTAACTTTTTAACTTTTTTTTTAACTTTTAACTAATTATTACCCAATCCTGAATCGCACTCTAAAGATGCCATCCCATGAGTGGAAATTTACAGTAGAACGGAATAGTAAGATCAATCACAATCGCAGAAAAGAAAGCAAAGTAATGACTGCAAAGTTGTGATTGGTCGCGCTGTTCCGTTCCACTAATGGGACGGCACCCTAAGGCTACCAACTGTGAAACGCTAAACATGGGATGACATTCATAGTCCGTTTTTATTTTAAAACTGTCTTAAATAATGTCTTAAGATGCTAATACAGTTCTCGGATTGACTTTTATTACAGTTTTAAATGTAAAAATCGACTATAAATGCCGGCCTGTTTTGCGTCGTGAAATTGATACTGAATCCTTGTTTAACACACTTTACGTTTCTTTTTCTATAAAAATTCTTACATTTAAAACTGTCTTAAGTACAGTCTTAAGATGTTATAAGTTAATCCAAAGAATGTATTAGCATCTTAAGAAATTATTTAAGACTAAATTTTTAAAATAAAAACGGACTATGAATATCGCCCCATGTTTAGCATTTTATAGTTGGCAGCCCTAGTCTCTTATCAACATTCATAGAGAAGACGGAGATTCAGAGAGAGATACTTGCAAACTGTACACACTATGTTATCCCTTTCACCATGAATGCAGCCTACTTACTGAGTGATTGATTCTTATTTATGGATCCACGAATAAGAATCAATTGCTCGGTGAGCAAGTTGCGTTTCGAAACCCATCGAAAAAAAAGTATTACAACCTTTCTGTAATCGGCTATACATACACTAGGCTAATGGCTGTATTTGTTTGTATTTTAGAAACATTAAATATATGCTGTGTTCCAAAATTTACTGCCAGCGTTAAAAATCTATAGTTTACGTTACGTATATTATACATTTTAAGCACTAGCAGTGAATTTTGGACCATAGCTATAGTTTTTTGGAATACTGATGTACTTTGTACTCTATTATCAATTTCTCGGAATATCTCATATTAGAAAATGTCTCGAAAGCATAATTTTTTGACTTTGCGATTTGCTCATTTTTTACACTTCTTTAATTAAAAAAAATAATATTTGAATTTAATTTTACATAACATTATCTTAAAGTTTATTAATTCCCTTCAAGATGACATATTATTTTTTTAAATTCCTCATAGATTTCTAACATTTACCCAAAATAAATTGTCGTATCTCATAATGGCTGCGTCCGGGACTCCCAAAATAAACTATGGTATCTTATAATGGTTGCGCTCGGAACCGTCGCTCGGATTTATCATTTGTCTTTGTTTAATATTTTATGTTAAACAAAGACAATAGTCAATCCATGGCATCGAAGGAGACGTTTCCAAACTTATTCAGATATCACAGTTTTAAAAATATATGTTGGACGTTTTGGACATATTAAAAACATCTAGATTAAATCCATGCATATTTTAAAAACGTTTTAAAAACATCCAGTGTTACTATTTTGGATTTCTTAAAAACATCCATTTTAGGACGCAATCGACTAAAACTAAACTAAATTAATATATTAAACAAATTTTAAACCACAATCAAAATAAAATAATTTTTATAGATTTTTTTATAGTTGAAAATTTTCAACAGTACAGATATCATAGGGACGTCCATAGAATGTTCAAAAAACGTCCCCTTCATTAGAGTTCTTAGAATACCAGAGTCTGGGCTTTCCTCTATCCTCTCTTGTGATTGGCATACCCACATAAAGCAGTAATCGAGAACGTACATACATTCATACCATCAATTAAGAGCACATATATTTCGGACACGCACGCCATTTTTAGGGCATGGTAAGACTTTGGTTTTCTAGGGATTCTACTCTTCATTGATCTCTGACTGCACGCTGAAAGTAAGATTCTAAACTCTTAAGATGCATTCACATGCAAGCATCAAGCAGCGGAAGTAGCAACCAATCAACTGGACGATACGGGCAGTGGTGTAACATAGAAGATAGAGACTAAAGCGGAGCACAAATTTTTGCATAACGCATAACATATAAGTCATAAGAAATTGAATCAATCAGAGTTCTTTATTTCATGGAAAGGAAGGAAACGAAGGACATTAATTAGTACATTTTCATATGCATTACGTC